AAGGTAATTGAGAGCGGGTTGTTTGACGGGCAGGTGGGTTTTGGTACTGATGAGTGAATAACAGTCGGAGAAGGAAATGAATCTCAAACCTGACTGCCTTCTGTCTCTCTTGAAGACTTTCTTTCTTTTTTTGGGTTGAACAACAAGCCGCAGGGCCAGCTTGAGAGCTCCCAAGCTTCAAAATCCCCTATACTTCAGAAATTTGCAGCTCGGGAGCGAATGCCTTTTATCTTCTCATCTCAGAATAAAGCCTAAGAAGGAAGGCCTTCCTCCTCTTCAAAATTGAGAAAGCTCAAGCATACGCTTAAACATCCTGCTTACAACATTCGACCACCTTCAATCACCTGAAAGCAGTACCGTCCGATCCTAAACCTGGTGCCCAAACCTTCGCGGATGAGCGTCTGAAAAGAACGCCCGCTGGCCCTCCCATCTGTTCTGTCTGCTTCGTATCACATGCTGGGTACAGCTAATGATAGTCTCTAGATGGGAAGGGACAGAGAAATGGACAGGCGTAGAAGGAGCGAGCAGAGACTAGACCGATGTGATCTACAGCGAATCTAAGAACTGGAATGAAGTGACTTGTCGATGTCAATGCTAAACAAATGAGAACTAAAGGTAATGAACTAATGAGGACTTCTTCCAGTTTGTTCCTGACTGGCACGTTGACCGATTCTGGTCCCTTACAAAATTACTGGTCTTTTGTATAAAAATCTCAAATGCCGAGAGATGTTCGGACCTAACAGGCCTCCCAACTCCGATCAGCGCCCCAGCATGCGTTCTTGATAGAAAACAACTAGCATGAGCTGGCTTCTAATACAATTCTTCCCTTCGTCACTACATTTGTCATTGTTCATTCGTCTTATGGCTGTATGCATTCAAAAAATTTCAGGGGAGCTTGGACAACTTCCTTTTGAAGGACCCTACTACGACTACGCCGGTTTGGACAGCAGATATGAACCCTCATTGCTTATGTCGCTTCTCAGTGGGCTAGTGCATTCTCCTCACTCAACGTCTCCCATATACTCCTCCTTCCGTACACCTTACCAACCATACCTTTCCTCTGGTAATAGTCGTTCCTCATCATTTCGTTCTGCTTTTCAACCCTCATCATCCTTTCCTACCCGGGATAGTCCATCCCCATTCAATCCAGCCGCTGCCACTAGTGTCAACCCCTTTTCCCATACCGTATCCGACATAGCTTCACCATCATCATCATCCTTCTCCTCCTCGTCTTCCTCATCGGACGGCTTTTCGATGCCCATGGACCTTGGAGGGTTCTATAAAGGCAAAGGAAACGAAATGATTAATCGATAACTGCTAGTATTCTATTGTATACATTGTTATTTACTATTGCTTTAATGTTATAATAAATTGTTTATTCATCTGTCAGGAAAACAAGTAAACATAAATAAATTAACTAATAAATTAATAAATATGCTCTGGATATGCGCTAATAGTTCTACAAATTCAATTATACTAATGACCTAGAACTGTAAGAGTGATCAGTGATGAAGTGACGATGCGGGAATGAGAGAGATCACAGCGGGAGGTCTTCAGAGGGACCATAAAGGAATGGGGACAGAGAGAATGAACCAATGAATAATACCATCACGGTAGACTATCACATATGATCAACAAGAAATATTAGACACCGTGAATGAGCGTAGGTAAGTATGTACTGTAGAAATAGAAATATCTTTAGAAAGAGGGCGTAATGTTATATTGCTGGCACCCGATGAGTGAAAATCAAGTAAAATTTTGAAAATCTATATTAATGACAATGAACGATACTGGCTGTGAACGATTTGGCTGCTGCTTCGGCTTCTGGCTTGCTTTTGTGCTTTTATAAAGCGATCTATACTTCTTTCAGCGTTGGATGTAAATGTTCCTAGTTAATGGCTGGATATCCGATGTCGAGGGATGCTGAAAAATGGAAAAAAACTGGTTTGGAACAGATTCAGATGACAAAATTAGCCATGGCTGGACATTGAAAGAGCCCTTCTCCCCTCCCCCTCAGAAAAAGAGGGTCCTTTGCTGCGGGTGAATGACTTAGGGGAGAGTTACGAAGGGTGAAGTAATTCTTCGGCGTAAGTCCGTCTGAAGAACGCGCCCCGCCTTCGGCCTCCATTCAGAATGGTGGTGGATGGTTGAATACGTAAGTGGGCTATACAGCGACTTGCAGGACTGAATGACTAGCCAGCCGATGTGCAAGCCAGAGCTTCTATCCTCCCAGACGGGTCTGTTACCCGACAATGGACTACCCGACAATGGACTCCGGAGGAATGAAAAGGCTTGGTTGTTTCGGGCGGGTATAAAGGGGAGTTGATCCAGGGACCATATTCGTGGTCGTGGCCAGTTAGCACTGCCAAAGGACCGATTTCTCATAAAAACTATGGTACCCAATGAAATCAGATTGGGAGGGAAAACCTTATCTGGGGATCACATCTGTTTTCAAGAAAGCACATTGTACGTCATATTTGATCTGAAAGCGATTATTCTAAAAATTTTCCGTTTCAGTCTCGGTACATAAGCTCTCTCCCAGTAATGATACGATTCGAATGTCCAGAGACTGAAACGGGGAACTGTTTCTTGACGTTTCTTGTCGTAAGAGTGATGGAGGCTTCAGTGTTGGGTGTGTGTCGAGGGGTAGGATGATTATTGTTTGACGCAATTTTCCCAACATTAAACTTTACCCAGGGTCTATTACTCTCCCGATTGAAGTAGGAAAGATGAACTCTACAATCTCACCTCGTGAGTGAGCCATGTCAATTTAAAAAAAATCACCTGGATTGTAATGATAAACGTGCGTCCGTTGGGTATCGAGTGGAGCATTGAGTTGCTGAACAGATGGACGAGCGTTCGTTGGCTGCAATGCTAGCCAACACGGTTGGCCTGATAGGAGGTTGTGGTCTGAAACAAGGAAAAATCGTCGAAGCTCTCTGAGGGGCTTAAATGATAGCGAATTTTAAATTATACGTAGTCTTCTGGTACATATTCACTATTGTCTTCTGGGGTGTAAAGCGTTGGATTAGATCCCCTCACAGTGCGCGGCGATTCCTAGCTAGTTGTCTCGCCCGCGACATGGGGCGTTCGAATCCAACACCGTGCTCGTGGATGTGGAGCAATGCCGCACAATAGGGATAGGTAAGCCTTATAGATAGCGAGATGGAATAGCCTTGGTATTGGTAGGCTCTCCAATCTGTCGCAGTAACGAAGTGAAAAACGAGAGAAAAAATCGAAGGGACCATTTCAAAAGATCGATTGGTTTTGCACGGAAAAATCGCATTGAAAAAATTGATCAAAAGCCTATTTTTACTCAAACTGGGAATGCATTCGAGTATGAAGTGGAAAAGTTTGTTGGTTGAGTTTATAGTTGAATTCCAATCGATAACTCATTTTTTCAATACAGTCATCTTCCAAAACCCTCACCGAGATTAATTTTATCAAGTTAATGGCGTTGTGAGAGGGATAAATTACGTTCCGTTGAGCTCCATTATGGCCATACTGGTTTTTACTACTACTAACAGGTCCGCTGGTCGGTAATAAGAAGCAGGCGAGAAAACCGACGATTTGTTTATTTGCATATTTATAATGGGGAGGAAATCGTGTAACGGCAAGTGGCGCATTATCAAACACACATGGTACACAGCTCAAAGCCCGGATCCATCTCGCCCAGACGAACAAAACATTTCATTCTTTTTTAATTGTGACCACAGTGGTCTGGGAGGGTAAAATCACTGACTTGTACATACAAGTCATTGCATAGGGCCGCAGTCGCATTCAAAACACTACTAAGATTTTGGGTGGAAGACGAATATGGGGCGCATCCCAAGAACTTGATTGATTAACACCAAAGGCAACATCCTTCATGCTTCCATACTCATTTCAGAATCATTTCAACATCGTGCTAAATAGTTACAACCAGTAACGTAGCCATAGTAGGCTTCCAAATACAACGAACCCTCCTCCTCTCAACGAATGATGGGAGGCATATTTTCGAACATTCAAAAACACCCCCAAAATTTAATTCACTGGCTTAGCATTTTTTCAGAAGATAGCATTTTTTCAGGGAAGCTCGGTCCTGAATTCCTGGCATTGAACGAACTACCATGAAACTCCTATTGATGGAGAGTGCACTCATTAATGCAACTTTTCTATAGAATGTTCAAAAAAGATCGGGGAATTTCTGAGAAAGTAAAGGTCCTGAGATCTTCCAGGGTTCTGGTTCGATAAAATTCCACGGAATCACCAAGGGTCAAATATCAACAGGGTCCAAAAATTTGTATTCAATATCGATCTTGG